AGCCTCGATATTTGGATCATCTTTTCGCTCATTGAATCCTCCGTATTGTTTATGTAGCGTTTCTTCAGGAAGAGGTAGAGAAGAATAAGGGAAACAACAAATATGTTTATGCCAACAGCGAGAGAAAATTGTAGGAATGGATCTGGACGCAATTTAGAGTAAATGCAGCTTAAAGGTGCGAACTTCAGTATGTTACCCTCAACAAAGTTCAAATATTTTTCCATGGAGATTAGAATAACAGGCCATCGAACATACACAAGCGCAGAAAAAATTCCAGCAATGACTTGATAAAATCCAATAACAATTTTGCAACAAGACATAACGACATCTGCAACCGTACGATTGTTTTCTGTGCGTTTCGAGTCACCCCAAAGAACCACTAAAAACACCGCAACAAATACCAGAACTACGACTACGCATGATATGATTGTGTTAACCATTCTTGGGCATTCCAGGCACGTGTTAAATCGGAGGTAGTGGTTGATAGAGCATGAGGCACATAAAATTCCTTTGAATTTGTCTTGACAGGACGAGTCAACTCCGCCATTACAGGATTTAGGATATGGACATTTTTGGGGCTGGGGTAGCGTTCCCTGAAACCTGGAGAAATTTTTGTCGTATGGAGGCTCTAGTGTGTAAATATTTTTAAGGAAGTTGCTATAAAACCTTTTTTCCTTTTCACTTGGCCATTTCCAATAATAATTTGGTGCTAGAATTGCTGTATCGTTGACACACTTTATACCGTGAGCAGGGCATTCAGAGCAGGAGCCAAATCGATCCATGCGGTAAAATCCGCGAAGGCATTTGCATGCACGATGACCAGCAGTTTCATTGGAAAGTGTACCTAGCCATATACAAGTAAAACGATTTAGTGCTGAGAAATTTGAAACAAGCTTCAACCACGGAACAAGCAACATCTCAATAACATAGTTTAAAATGGTTCACGTAATTGTTGTATTTATTCAACTGTTTTAGCTTAAATCTATATATCTACCACAGGGTTAGCAAACATTTTGTAATTTCTCTCAACTTCCCCTGTCTTAGCTTGTTTACTGTGTTGTTTGCTTATGTCCTTTTTTTGGTTGTTTTATGGTTAGGGATTTGTGTAGAAGTAGCTGTACACAGATTTTCGCGAATTTCTCTCTAACCCCTCCCCCTCTCTCCCTCCCTCTTATATCATTGCAAATATCAGCGAGGGGGTTCGAAGTGCGCAAAAGCCGGTGTTCAGTTCAGCAGTGAATTAATATATGTTCTACAATTTTCCCAGCACTTTTAAACGACGAAATTAGGAGAACATGAGACGTAGATTAGTCACCTGGTGAGATGTTTGGTGGTCGTAACTCGGTATGTCTCGAAAAACAAAAAAAGTGAATATCAATGAGGCACAGTCGAAACTGCATTCAATAGGACCGAAATTAAAGTCGAATCTTGTGACCGATTTTGATGAAACAAGGGGTTAGGTTTCCCGAGAAGTGCAGTAAACATGTGATGCTGACCAAAAGTCATGAAAAGTTAAAAATTATTACAGCACTTAAGTTCTGCACAAGATGCGTTACAATGTTAGTCCAAGCAAAAACAAGAACTTCTACAATTTTCCGATAAAAAAACTTTGTATCGCTAAAATACGTAAGGGAACACCTTTCTATTCCAACTGATAACAGCGTGGTAGTCGCCCGCTGATCGTTATTAATCCACTCCCGAAATATGGCTAAATCAGCTATCTACAAATTATTGACAGAAATCCTCTACGGCATCGAGAAACTAATTTTCATCCGATTTATAGACAAACACTAAATAAAGAACATTTTGTTCGATATCTACCCAGCAGCAATGCATTCTACCCCAAACTTTGCGGTTCTTGAAGGGGAATCAAGACTATATAAGTCGAGCGCCAAACAACAACAAGCAGGCATGTTCGTGTCAAAAGACATCCTTGAGAAACTTGCTATTGACCTCGTTCAGCGCATCCGTCTCTATATAAATCACCAGATTTTTACTTATTTTGTACAACGAAGATCTTTCCTAAGTTCCTGCTACCATTTGAATCTCAAGCAAGCTTTCAAAGTGAAGAATTTGGTTCCTATGACTATGCACCACGCTCACTGTCACTGGTCGCGTGCTCTTTACCAAGTTGCGTCCGCGCTTGCTCCTGCAAAAAGACCCTTGTTCCCAAAATTAAGGTGATTTTTTCTTTGTTTATTTCGCACAACGCAAATGTCACGCAACGCTCCTCCATGGCGAAGACAAGGTAGAAACGGCTGCGTGGGGAACTACAGAAGTCGTTAAACAGCGTGAGTTGCCGACCCATGTGACGTACCTTTTTTTTTTCAGTTACAGATAAAACATGTTGATTATTCACTGGTATTATTTTCAAATTTTTGGTGTTGGAGATTTTCTTTGCTCCGGGGTATTCAGGGGTGTTCTGATGGTGTTCTGGGGGTGTTCCAGGTTGTTCTAGGTATGTTCCGGGGTGTTTTGGGAGTGTTCTGGGGTGTTCCGAGCCTGTTCCTGGTTTTACAGACACTCCATTCTACTGGTTTAAATCCTTAAAATATTTAATCAGCTCAAAATAGTTTCAATAGGCGCCGATTCTGTAATGTTATGTTAAGACGTGCAGTTTGGTTAAGTGCAGCCAGCAAGAAAACAGTGCATGCATTTGAATTGTTTCCAGTTCTCTGATTGGCTAATAGCATTTTTTTTTGCGCTATTGATTGGCCTGATTTACTGGGCTAGTTTGAGCCGTCATCATAGTAATTGAGTACGTTAGGTAATCACAATAAGAGATGTGCGGAAGTATAACGTAACAGTGGATGTTTTGTTGGTTAGGTATTGTGTTTTGGTGTGGATATTGTTCAATGTCGTTTCGATTGTTTGGAGGTATTGCCTCATTTAGTGATAGCTCCACCCCTAGGGTTCGTACATATTTTTGAATCCAAAATTCAAGGCTTTTTCCAGACTTTTTCCCAAAATGATCAACATAAATGATCATGATCAAAATCAAATTAATGATCAAATAGGTGATCAAAGGAGACATTAGAAAACTTAGGAAGCAAAGGTTTTTTCATGACGCGCTGCAAACGTACCGGCGAGATTGAATAAGATTGACCAAAATGAAAAAAAATTCACTTATCAAGAACTTGTTGCTAGCTTTGAAAAAAAAATAAATAAATAAAACTCCTCACTTTTTACCATTTTTCCAGACTTCCTCTCCATTTTCCAAACTTTTTTACAGGTCTGGAAAATTGCTGGGCAAATTTCGAGACTTTTTTTCAAGAATTCAAGGCTCTGTACGAACCCTGCCACCCGCAATACCAAGAAACTTTCCTTCAAAGGAACTTTGCTCTTACCGTACGGACATGCGTGACAGTCAGTGGGAGTTTTGCCAGGATGACGTTCCTCTGAAACGTAAGTGCCTGTGCTACAATTCTTGCAGGAGACCTGTCCCACTTCGCTCTGGTAAAAGCCTCCTAAAATCAATCAGTTTAGTCCGGGTTTGTAAAATTTAAAAACAGTTTGCTAGACTGTTCACAGCAAATATTTTCTCGACCTAAAGAAAGCCGGAAATTAGGGGGAACTTGGTAATTAAGGGACCTTTCCTTTTCAGTTGCTCAGACACAGTCGCTTCCTCACAGCTGAAACAGGACACTGTTTAAGCGATTTTTTACATCCATTTCGAAATCACTGGTGATCCTTACAATCCGATTGGCTCTCGTGGTGTATTCACGAGCCTTGCTATTTTGTGCTCTAAATCGCCTCTTTTTTTCCAACCAATGAGAATATAACACTAAACCAACAAATCAGATTACAAGGATCATTCAAAGTAGCCAATCAAATTGCAGGAAAATGAAAAAACAAAAAAAAAGGCAATATTGTGCAGCAAACTTTGCCAGTTCTTTGTTCCCAAACTTTATTTTTTCAATGGTAAAAATGGACGAATTTAATTACTTTCAGTTTCTAAATGATGGTAGTGAGCTTCTTGAGGCTAAGGACCTACTTTTAGGGGAGTTTCCAACATTCAGTGTCCAGTTCGATGAATATTTTGATGATTTTTCTCTAACATCCGCTCCGGATCTCTGTGATCCCGAATCCAGCAACAAAGAAACAACAAACCCAGAGTCAACCCAGGAAGAAGATTCTTCCAGGTTCCCTGTTATCTCAAGTGAAGCGATTGAAGAGCTCAAGGCTGTTTAGGACTGCGCGCTTGATCATTTGAATGAATGAAATTGACTTTTTTTTTTTCGTTGACTACGCTCGAATGAATTTGAGTTCTAAATGACATCTGTCACTCTGTTTTGCAGTTGCATGGCATGTAAAAACGTTTCCAGTTCCGCTTGTTTACCACCCGGCTTTACCATGTGGACTAATAAAAGAGATTTGTAAAGAGCTAATCGAATTCAAAATGGATGTGATAAAGTGGTAACCGAACTTCGTGTCGTGCAATTTTGGTCCGAAATCATACTTGTGATTTCAAATCAATCTCACGCTGTGTGCTCGTTCGATTTTGAAATCACGCGTACCATTTCAGACCAAATTGCACTCCTCTCAGTTCAATTACCATAATTAATGGGTACATCAACCCCTTAAGATATCCTCATGTTATCTTATTTTAGAATAAAAAAAAAGGACCTGCAGGGCATGGAATACAGCTGCCTTCAGGACCAGCATAAGAACCAGCCATACAAAATGTGCAATTCGAACACCCGGATGTAAGTTCTTCTTTGGAACTGCAATCAGTACATGAAAAGCCCGAGCGACACAGACTACGTCTTTTTGAATCTCCACTACTTTCGAATACTACATGGAAGGATGACGATGGAGTACACTCACTAAGGAAATAAAAATAACATGTTTGTTTATCACACATCGAGGCAAACAAGACAGAGAGGGAGACGCTCAGCTCAGTAAATCTGAATTAATAAGAGGCTGTTTCAGAAAAAACCGCCCACTCGACTTCGCGTGAAAAATAATTTTGCCTGAAACTCTAGTAAGTGAAAGGCTCTATCGAGAATATAACTAAAATAGGTTTGCTTTGATTCACAATAATTTTCTGTCCGCGCTGGAGGGCGCTGCGTATTTTCTCCCGCCACGGCCAGTTTGCACGTCTTGACAATTGAAAATTAGGCATTTTTTTGCGGCGCTTTCAAATGTTTGATTTGCACCATATACTAATGAATTTTGTGTCTATTTATAGTTAAACACCTCTAGTTTTTCCTGAAAGTAATAGTTATTTGCTAAATGCAGTATTGTCAAGAATGTTTTACATTCAAAAGATGCGATAAACTCAAACTCAAATGCACTAGTCACGGAGGTATGTATAGTGCGCATTATTTTGGAAAAATTAGCATAACGTCAAAACAGTGAATGTTGTAACGCAGATTTTTGACAGGTTCGTAAGATAGGTTTGTCTTGAAATTTCAAGGTGTTGTAGCAAATCAATCTTAATGAAAGTTTCAGACATTTTTATAGACATTATGAAGATTAAGTGAAGAGATTTTAAAAAAATTCGTTTGAGTCGTTTCGGAGATATACAAGAAAGCGCTAAAAGTCAAAATTCTGAATGAAGTTGCACTTATACAGGTGGTGAGAAAACGGGTTAGTTTTCAAGATCGCAAGAACGAAAGTACACCAAAATTTCCTAGCATCAAAATATGATATTATTAAGCAGCATTCTGACGCTACTTAAGAATAATTTGAGTCATTTATAACCTTTTTATTAAATAATCTATCACGGCTATTGAAAATTTAAGGTTTGAAATATATTTTCGTTTTAGTCGAATTCAAACGTACAGAATTTTTTACTTCTTAAAGAGATTGTTTGCTAAACTCCAAACTTTAAGTTCCTAGTGTTGGATTTTCAGTAGCAGGTCTAGATCACACAGAATTCGGCTTTTATCAGTTTCAAAGTTTTTTGTTTATTGTTGTTATAGTAATATCGATTTTACTTAAAACTACATTTTCACAAATTTCAATCCATAGCCAATTACTGGTGAAAATTTTATAGCGATCGGACAAGGAAAAAACCACTTTTAGGGCGATTAAAAAATATCGGTATGGCCTCTGAAAAACTGTATCGAAACACCTTAAACAGCAAGCTAAGAAATGTGAGAAAGTTCGAAGTAGACCTCTTGGCATTCAAGAAACTCTCCAAAAAATTATCAAGAAAAAAAAAACCACAACAACAAAACAGCAAACAAACAGGCAACAAAGACAACAAAATAAACTTTAAATGAGTGTTATTGTTTACTTACATGAGGGCATTGTAGATCCCTGGCGGCATCTGGTGTAAATTTTTACATGTCACAACCCTATAGAGATATTTGTTCAGATCTTTGACATAATGAAATAAGGAGTAAGAGTAATTTCCGCAGCTCATTTAATAACTTGCTCCATTAAAAAACATGTAAAAGCACCTGATCATGATTTAACTTGTATAGCCTTATATGGCAATGTTCTAAACAATGTCAAAGTAGCCTGAACTGTAACGCAACATTGAGTTCTAACAAAACATCGAGGGCCTTCTCTGCATACTATGACATCCCCGCTTTTGTATCAAGAAAGAGGAAAACGAAGAATCAGAGTTGGCCTAATAACGTACAACGAAGGTGAAGGGGAAGCAGAAATAACAAACAACAAATGCAGGCAATTGTCTCGCAATGCCAGTTTAAATATCCCATCATGAGGAGTTGCTTCAGTTTACTTTTTAAATTTGATTGGGACTTGTTTAACACGTCCTGACTTGTAGCTCTTTTGTTGGAAGGGAGCCTTTCCCTTCCTGGTAACAGTCTGAGATGGTGGCTCTGCGAGTTCGCTGGGTTTTTGAGCTGGAACATCTAAGCTGGGTAAAGCTGATACACTCTTCCTTGGACTCATCGCATCAGGTGTGGAAAGTGTGTGGCACTGGCTCTGGTTGCATGTGTTTATCTGCTGCGTCAGGTGATGGAGATCTCTTATAAATTGGTAGCCTAGGCCTTTGCTAAGTAAGTTCAGTTGATTCAGTTGTTTTCCCTAGGAGAGTCAGCTTTCAACGCAAGTCAAGTTATTTTACAAGTTCCCCATAGATGTATAGTCATCGACAACACTTGTGTTAGTCGATCCCGTTTAAGTTTCCCGTTTTCGAATTCTTGTTTTATTTTGTTAATAAACTCGTAAAACTTAGCTTAAATCTGTGGTTCTTGCATCGACCGTTTTGGCCCTCTTGCACATTTGTTGTGTTAAATAGCTGCTGATATCAAGGTTGAGAAATTTCGCCCAAAATGGCGAGTTTTGACTTGTTTTATCATTGTATCGAGACCAACCACGCACTGGAAACTTGTAAGCATGCATAAGAAGTTTACGATTTTCTGAATCTTTCGACAAAATACCAGTTGGAATCTATCTTGCTGAATTGTTCTTTTAGGTTTTCTACAGCGACGTTTAATGCCCTGACATCCCATAAGTAATACCATTCAACCAAGATGCCATCTTAATTCTTCGCACTGAGATATACTGAGTATTGCCATAGCCTGCTAATACAGTCGCCTCTATCCCTCCCCGTCTCTGGGAGCGTTTCACGAGCGGAGACGTTTGTGATTTATCCCCCAAAACTGCGTACTGATGATGTAAATAGATGTTTACATTACAAATCTGGTAGTCGTGTGGTTCCAGATGTAATAATTAAATCTGGTAGTCATGGGGTTCCAGATTTAATTTTGTACGAGTTTATGTTTCATCTGGTCTATTAGAGCGATCAGTGTTCTTATGACCTTGAAAAATGGTATGGGTAAGTATTCGTCATTTGTTTTATCAGCCAGTGGATGAAAAGATCAAATAACGTGGACTCCTCGTTTTGCCGCCAAAGAAAACCCTAATGAGGAGAAGGCATTGTTCGATTTGCCAATCGTGTTGCAGTATGACTTCAAAGCGAAGTTTTGCTTGATTTCTAGAAATTTGTTCGGGCTTGAAGATTTTTCAGCCGAGCGTTCGCTTAACCAACCAAAGGCTACGCCGGGTTTGTATCCGTTCGGCAAACCAAACAAATCCCTCTATTTCCGTTCGTCTGTTGTTTCTGTTTTGTTCGCACGTTTTCATTTCAAGGTCATGCGAAAATCGCTCTATCGTAAAGTCTTCAGTTTAGTTTAAGTTTTTAGTTTAAAGTTAAAAGTCTTTTGTTTTTGCGAACGAACGGCAGCAAAAATCATCTCCTTTTTTCTAGGGAGGAATATATTCCACGAACAATGACTTTTTTAGCTGATTGATTCGTAAATAGAAGCTTAAAAAAAAAGACTTCTTGTCCGGCTATTCAGTGCAGTCGTTGACCAGTTCCAGCCTGTTCACGGACCCTCTAGTTTCTGTTTAGAGATCGTAGAGCGAGTGTAGAAATAAAACCGCGGGTATTTATTGACCGCGCTCTGTCAAATTGTCGAAAAAAAAAAAAAGAAAAAAAAGGAAGAAAAACGTATGTGCACAGGCTAGACCAATCCCGGACTTAAATG